GCCTTTTTGGCCAACTTGCTATATTTTGATGAAGAATGGGATCCTTAAATCCCCTAGTAAATATTCTTTAGCACTTCTCTGGGCCAACAGCTTCTAAAGTACATTGTCCTGTAATGGTGAGGAGAAGAAAACCCTACAAGCTAAACTACTGTAAGCGTAATGTGGCTTTAATTAAAAGGCCAAGCATATAGCTGCTGTTCTCACACTATACACACTCTAAGAGATGCATTAAAAAAAGCTTCTAATGCAGAGTTTAAGGTTAATGATTTCAAGTGTTTTACACGCACATATTTACACAGGTTTCAGGTCCTCACATCTCTGGGTTTAAAGCAATTGTGTTAAAATATGTGACTGCAAATGAGATGCAGACTGACTCACACCAGCGAATCCAAAAATCTGAGAGAACGGAGGGATGTGGCTTGGTTTTGAATTACTAAACTATAGTTTGAGGGGAAGGAAAGAGTCATATTTTGAATTCTAAGCATAGTGAACATCCCTGTGCCACGAAGTGTAAAGGATCTGCACATTTTTCTTTAGCTTTTCTACTAAAACTTAGGGAACTTTATCTAATAACAAAATATAATATTTATCACTTTAAGCATTTTAATTTGGGTCAGAGAGCAATAAAGGAAAATTGTCATTAATGCTGAGCTCCTTATAGCATTTTGTCATTTTCCTGAAGGAATAGAACATGTTTTAAGAAACAAAAGTATGATTATGGGGTAGCTTCAAAAGATTAAACAAAATTTTAAGCAAATCCGACAAATGAAATTTTCCACTTTATATTTACCCTGCATATCAGAGAACGTCAAACCAGAAATATAGAAAGATCAGATGTGAAACATTATTCAAAAACAGATAGCTCTTTTTTTTTGTTTTTGTTTATTTGGTTGATGTTTTTACACGGGGCTTTATTCCACAAAACTCCTGTCCAGAAATCAGTTGCTTGGACAAGCATTTTACTTTCAGGTTTTTCTCTGTGTATCAGTGTGTGAATGTGTTATACCACATTCACACATAAAACAAGCTTATGACCTGATTTGGCTTTTTGAGAGTCAAATCTTGGATCAGCAAATCTTTTGACACACAAACAAGGATGGAGCCCAAAAGGTGCAAATATTAGTGCTTTCCTGAAGGTTCTGAATGTACAGTTGGCCTGATCTAAATGATCAGATGACTGAGAGATGCAAACATGGCAGAGCCACTTGTGGCGTCTGGATCATTCCAACTGCCACAGCAAGTCAAAATAATTGTTTTACTTTTGAAAGTAAATTTACTCAGAAATGTCCAAGACAATTCTTTCAGACGCTCCAAATGCACAAAAGTGCTGAATTTATGAATGTATATGTTCTCAGATTTCTTACGGTATTATTATTATATAGTTTAAGACAATTATACAAATTTAAACTCATATAAAGTAGCATTTAGTCAACCAGCAGACCTTTTCCAAAATAAAAGTTCCACATCTGCATCGACAAAACAGAAGAAATTTACTTTTTCCTTTTCTCTTACCAATTATCATCATTCCTAGAACATGATAACAAGAATAACATTAACTACATGACAGGTAGTGTAGATAAAATCATGAAAAATGCTCATTCCCCTTTGGTTAAGCAGCACCTTTATATCCATCATCTTTATATCCATTTTTGCAAAGTACCTTTCTAATTGACAATGGTGAATAAAACTATGCACCTACAATTGTAAGGGAACAGATAATCCACATGGTCCTTCTTACCTTAAAAAATGAATCCAGCACTGCTGTAAACCACCCAAGGAAAATCACTCTGGGTCATACCACTTACTGCAAAGGTGTAACGTTCCACTCACATGCAAGAAAATGCAGTAGTATAAGGAGTATTTACTTTGAAGTTATTGGATGGATTCTAGTTATAGCTGGCTCCAAGTCAGCCCTTAGTTTCTGGGTTCTCCAGACCCTTAAGGTTTACTCCACTTTAGTTTATAGATGCTTCCCTTCTCCAGCAAATTTTAATCAATCAAGTGGCTCATTAACAGGCCTTCAGCAAACTTAATGGCAACATGGCAGCAGACATATTCAATCATTTGAGTCAGCTGTGTTGGAGCAGGGATGCACCTCAAGGTTACAATGCTGTAGAGCAGTGATTCCCAGCAGGGGGTATGTGTACCCCTAGTGGTCCGCAAGGGTATTGCAATGGGTACATGAAAATATTTCCTTAGGTAGTAAAATAGAATAGGGCTGGAATCTCTTCTGCTTTGTTACAACCCAATAAAAAAAAAAGAAGAAAAAAAAGATTTTATCAACCAAAAAGTGTGTTTTTCTTTGATTTTACCTTCGGCTGTGACACACACCAAAACCAAGCAGAGGAACATCGTGGAAGTAAAGAACAGCCTGTCAGCTGTTTTTCACACTGAGCTATAGGAGCTCATCAAAGCAGGTCAGGTGTTTTGATGAAAACAACTAAGATGAATTAAGTCAGCCTGACTATAATTTTTGTTCTTCATTTTGTTCCCAATTCATCAAGTTTAAATGTATTTATAAGGGAGTTACTCAGAGTAGCTCCAGTTTTATAAATACAGGTTTATATTATGATTTTAATTTGCATTTATTTCTATGTCTTACTAACTTCCAGGCAACATATTTAAGATTTTCTATTTGAGATGGAAAGAATACAATGATAAGAATTAAAGGCTCAAATTAAAGGATTAAGTAAAATTGTCTTTATTTTTTTTTTATCAGTTATTGTACGTTCCACTTTTGGACCATCTTCAATACTTTGACTGAGAGGGGAACTGTAGAGGACCAAAGTTGGAGATCCTGCCTGAGTTAATACAGCAGCCCCAAAACAGCATTATAGTGATAGATTTGTTAATATCTAAATGTCCAGACATTTTAAGACATATACAGAAGACTTTTTCTCTGTTGTCTGTCATTGCACTGTAGTCCATTCAGCTACTATGAGCAAAGGGATTTTTGCAAGATGCTCTCAGATTTGATCAATTCCACTAATTGATCAAATCTGGTAAACACATTTGCATATTCTCTTACCAGTATTTTACATGTTCTGCTGATCAGCACGTTCCACATATCAATACAAAGAGCTGCAAATGCTGCGCTTCTCACTTTACAGTTGCAATCCTTTGTACACTTGGTTAGAAGATCGGCTTTTCCCATGCTATCAAATTTGCATATATACCCTATAACTTCATTTGATTAGGGCCAATGTCTGTAAAAGACACATGTCACAGGATCCATGTCTCCAGCACTATCAGCGAGAACAACAAACTGTTAAAGGGCATTAGAGGCAACACAAGCTGCCTTTAACCATCAACTTACGTTAATTGTATTTACAAAAATACAAAAAACACTTTTTTCATGTACACTTCACCAAGGGGATTTTTTTTTTTGGTTGTGTCGAAATTATTATATTTCTGAAAGCTGCAATGGAAAGACTTAATTTTGCATAACACGAGTCATGCAATCTGTGACTGGACCTTTCTGCCTGGTACACGACAAACAAGACCAGCAGTAGTTGCCTGATGGCGCCCACAGATGGCTGAAATATGGATATCTCATGTGTTTACATCCATCGCTGCCATGTTATTTTCAGTTAACACTTGAACAAATATATTCACGTGAAATTGTAATTATTTTTATATCTAATGGAAATACTGCAATCGTGAAACATTTTTCCAATATGCAGAATATCAAGATAGTTTTGTGCACATTTGTAAAGGAAATTGAGATACTGTTATTCCACACAAAGCAAGAAGGGACTACAAGACCTAGAGCAAAATGTTGGTGAGAAAACTAAATAAATACAATAAATAGATGGATAGATAAACAGATAACAAAAGTGAACAAAACAATTTATACTTTATTTGTATTCAGTAGGTAATGCCAGATCAGTGTTTGACTCTTGAACACTGGGAAGAGGTTTTGAGCTTATAAGTATTCGAGATCACTTATAAACGTTTATTCTAAAATATTTAAAAAATAATAAGAAATATGTAGACGACAATAAGGCAAATAGCACAATTAGTCAAGTAAGTTCTGTTTATTTCCCTATAAACAATATTTAGGTTTGCTTTAAATTATATCCTATATGGTTTCTTTATGTTCATGTCAACAATTTGTTTACAAAAAAAAAAGAAAATGTAAATGTCTGAATGATTTATACATAAATAAATATCTACAGTACAAACATTATGCCAATGAATAACATCTAGCTATAAGATTAAGCAGGTACTTTACACATTAATAAGACTTAATACTATTTTTTATTTTATACATCTAAGACCAAAAAAGTTAATCTTCTTAGAAAATAAGAAAATATAAATACTAACAGAGGCAAGGACAAAGATGGCACTTAGATGCATTGTGTTTACATTTAGCGAACCGTCATGAAGGTACAGCATTACTTAGATGTAGTTCTCATCAGCTAATACATAATTAGCAACATTCACAATAGAGTAAGAAGCTCATATCATTATTTAGCAAAAGATTAGCTTAGTGAATTAGACTCCAAGGCTCTGAAATCATCAGATCCCGTTTACCTGGTGTTCATTTAGTTGCAATTTTGATTAAACACTGATTAATTTACTTACGGTGAAAATAAACTAGTTTGCAATATCTTAAAAAAAAGGGTACAAAAATGCAATTTAGTCAGGATATTAGAGGAATTTACTCATCTTAGATGAATGAAATGTAATTATCTCGTTAGATTGAATTTGGAGCACTTCCTCATGTTAAACATTCTACATCCAGTCTGATGAAGACATAGCAGGAATACAAGATTCAAAACTTTGCAGCAATATTAATAAAACGTGTTGACTTCACTTCTCACTCCAAATTCTCACACAGCCTTGTTTCTTTTATCTTCAATTTTCTCACATAAGTGCATGTTACACAGTATTAGACACATGTGCTTAAATGCAAATATGCATGCACTACCTAAACCTAGCTATACATGTTTATAGAGATCGGGGTATTTACATGAATGCATGCAAATCTAGTTTTTTTTTATTTTTATTAAGATCTAGTGTCATTCTAAAAGTGAGCCCCATTGCATTAATCTATGTTGCAGAGTGAATACTCTATCTAGATGAAAAGGCTTGGAATATTCACACAAAACACAACTACAGACCTATCTCTAATTCGTTTTTTCTCTCTTTTTTGATATTTCAGATAAAGATATCCCCCTTGGATATATCTATGTGATCTTCAACTAAGATTCCCTTTAAGTTGGTCTTCTGTTAGTTTATGGTCCCCGATAGCTCTAGAAACAAGTATAAATACATGCATACACATATACACATTCACACTACCATCTTCTGTTGTTTCAACTTTTTTTTCACTAAATCCTTTATTTTTCTCCTTCTAGCTCTTCTTTTAGAGGCTCGTCTCTTTCTTTGGCGTCCTCTGCCCCTTGTCTGATTACTGGTAACCACTGTGACATCAACCCGGTGCCAGACCCTTTGACCTGGTTGAGGCGGCTGAGAGCTGCATACAGCCCAGTGTTGGTGCTGCTGCGGGCCCCTGGATCCTCCTGCTGCTCGGTGTAATACATCTCCAGAGCTGCAGGGGTACAGTGCTTCTGCTGTTGTAACAGAAAGAAAGAAAAACTTTTGTTTGCATCAATAAAAGTTGTTTATAGAATCAACAAATACCAGAAAACATTGAGAGTAAACCTCTTTTCTATAACTTTGTATAACTTTAATACTTTCATAAGAAAAAAAATAGCTACAATTTTTAAAAAAGTAATTATCAATGTGATCCAATTAAAACAAAAATAGCATAAGTAAAAAAAAAGCATTGTTCAAATGACAATTTTATTTATTGACAGAAATCATCTGTAACATCATCCTGAACCGAGTAAAAGAAAAATGTCTGTCTTTGGTAGATTATTGTGATTAACCAATATTTTTATATAGATGGGGTAAATTCCAAAGTCGTCATTAAAACCAGAGCTGAAAAAAAGAGAAATTCTTTAAAAAGAAATTGTCTGTTAACATGAAGGAGGCTTTTTCACAGATGCCAAACAGAAGCCCACTATGTCCTACCTATAGCACTGCAGGCTTCACTTGCTAACTGTTTAGGAACTGTCAAGAAGCAAAAAAAGCTTTAAACAGTAAAAAAAAAAAAAAAAAAAAAAAAAAAAAAAAAA